GCATAAAAACATGAAAAAACGTCATAGTATAGTAACGCCAAAAAACGTCAAAAAACGTCAAAAAACGTCATAGTATATTAAGGTAAAAAACGTCATAGTATAGTAAGGCATAAAAACATGAAAAAACGTCATAGTATAGTAAGGCATAAAAACGTCAAAAAACGTCATAGTATATTAAGGTCAAAAAACGTCAAAAAACGTCAAAGTATATTAAGGTAAAAAACGTCATAGTATAGCAAGGCATAAAAACGTCAAAAAACAACACAGTATAGTAAGGCATAAAAACGTCAAAAAACGTAATAGTATATTAAGGTAAAAAACGTCATAGTATAGTAAGGCATAAAAACATGAAAAAATGTCATAGTATAGTAAGGCATAAAAACGTCAAAAAAGGTCAAAGTATATTAAGGCACAAAAACGTCAAAAAACGTCATAGTATATTAAGGTCAAAAAACGTCATAGTATAGCAAGGCATAAAAACGTCAAAAAACGTCATAGTATATTAAGGTCAAAAAACATCATAGTATAGCAAGGCATAAAAACGTCATAGTATAGCAAGGCATAAAAACATGAAAAAACATCATAGTATAGTAAGGCATAAAAACGTCAAAAAACGTCATAGTATAGTAAGGCATAAAAACTTCAAAAAACGTCATAGTATAGTAAGGCATAAAAACGTCAAAAAACGTCATAGTATAGTAATGCATAAAAACATGAAAAAACGTCATAGTATATTAAGGTCAAAAAACTTCATAGTATAGTAAGGCATAAAAACGTCAAAAAACATCATAGTATAGTAAGGCATAAAAACGTCAAAAAACGTAATAGTATAGTAAGGCACAAAAACGTCAAAAAACATAGTATAGCAAGGCATAAAAACGTCAAAAAACGTCATAGTATATTAAGGTAAAAAACGTAATAGTATAGTAAGGCATAAAAACATGAAAAAACGTCATAGTATAGTAAGGCACAAAAATGTCAAAAAATGTCAAAAGTATATTAAGGCAAAAAAACATGAAAAAACGTCATAGTATATTAAGGTCAAAAAACGTCATAGTATAGCAAGGCATAAAAACGTCAAAAAATGTCAAAATATAGTAAGGCATAAAAACGTCATAGTATAGTAAGGCATAAAAACATGAAAAGACGTAATAGTATAGTAAGGTACAAAAACGACAAAAAACATCATAGTATAGTAAGGCATAAAAACGTCAAAAAACATCATAGTATATTAAGGTCAAAAAACGTCATAGTATAGCAAGGCATAAAAACATGAAAAAACATCATAGTATATTAAGGTCAAAAAATGTCAAAAAACGTCATAGTATAGTAAGGCATAAAAACGACAAAAAACATCATAGTATAGTAAGGCATAAAAACGTCAAAAAACATCATAGTATATTAAGGTCAAAAAACGTTTAAGTATAGTAATGCATAAAAACATGAAAAAACGTCATAGTATATTAAGGTAAAAAACGTCATAGTATAGTAATGCATAAAAACATGAAAAAACGTCATAGTATAGTAAGGTATAAAAACGTCAAAAAACGTCATAGTATAGAAAGGGATAAAAATGTCAAAATACGTCATAGTATATTAAGGTAAAAAACTTTATAGTATAGTAAGGCATAAAAACATGAAAAAACGTCATAGTATACGTCAAAAAAGGTCATTGTATAGTAAGGCATAAAAACGTCAAAAAACGTCATAGTATATTAAGGTAAAAAACGTCAAACATCGTCATAGTATATTAAGGTAAAAAATGTCATAGTATAGTGATGCATAAAACCGTCAAAATACGTCATAGTATAGTAAGGCATAAAATGTCAAAAATGTCAAAAATTAGTAAGGCACAAAAACGTCAAAAAATGTCAAAATATAGTAAGGCATAAAAACGTCATAGTATAGTAAGGTATAAAAACGTCAAAATACGTCATAGTATAGTAAGGCATAAAAACGTCAAAAAACGTCATAGTATATTAAGGTCAAAAATCGTCACAAAACTTCATAGTATAGTAAGGCATAAAAACTTTATAGTATAGTAAGGCATAAAAACATGAAAAAACGTCACAGTATAGTAACGTACAAAAACGTCAAAAAACGTCATAGTGTATTAAGGCATAAAAACATCAAAAAAAGTCATAGTATAGTAAGGCATAAAAACATTGAAAAAAATCATAGTATAAGACATAAAAATGTCAAAATACGTCATAGTGTAGGAAGGCATAAAAACATCAGAAAACGTCATAGCATAGTAAGGCATTAAAACGTCATAGTATACTAAGGCATTAAAACGTCATAGTATGCTTAGGTCTAAAAACGTCATAGTATGCTAAGGCAATAAAACGTCATAGTATGCTAAGGTCTAAAAACGTCATAGTATGCTATGGCATTAAAACGTCATAGTATCCTGAGGCATTAAAACGTCATAGTATGCTATGGCATTAAAACCTCATAGTATGCTTAGGTCTATAAACGTCATAGTATCCTAAGGCATTAAAATGTCATAGTATCCTAAGGCATTAAAACTTCATAGTATGCTAAGGTCTAAAAACGTCATAGTATACTAAGGCATTAAAACTTCATAGTATGCTAAGGTCTAAAAACGTCATAGTATGCTATGGCATTAAAACGTCATAGTATACAAAGGTATGAAAACGTCAAAAATCATCATAGTATTATAGTATTAGTATTATAATATTAATATAGAACCTAGACCTGCTTTACAATCAAAAAATCTCACTTTATACGATATGGGACATTTAATTCATTGCTTTGGTTTTAAGTCTCAGTCAACCAAAGACTCTACTGTACACTACCTGCAAAGGTATGCTTCTTTGCGTTTGTCTTATGTATAATATTTGCTAATGCAGTGGACCTGACAATTTTATAAGGTGGTAATATGTCAGGGCTATGTTTCTGTCAGCTTGTTGTGGGATTTTTCTGTACCATATGCAGTTCTAAATAATAATATTAAAGAAACATAATAATATGCTATCAATATGTTGTATCTTTTTTTTTATGAGGGCTTTGGCCTTTGCAAATTCAGACAATGGTGAGGACTGTACCCTTTTCTGACTGCAGCCCACAATGAGGTAGGTTTCTATGTTGTTCTTCTTCAGGTAGGCGTTTCTCTCTCCCCCTGATCCCGGCTCCACATCGTAGTCCCCATTCAGATAATTCATAGTGGCCTTAGTTATATGAATACGCCTGAAATGAGAACAACACACATCAACACCGGCAGTACACACAGTTTTAGTACAATGGACTGGTTTATGGGTAGTTTGGAGCTTGATAACTGGAGAGACATACCCAGCTTTGCCCCCAGCTTCCATCTGATTGGCTAATGTGACGTCATTGGACCAGACATCAAACTGCCACTTCCTGAGTCCCAGCACTCCGCAGTGCACCCTGCCACTGTGGATACCCACTCGCATGTTCACATTTACCCCAGTTACCTCCCGTACCAGCCTGCAAGAAACATCAAAACAATAATCACGAATGTCCGAACATTTATCACTAGATTTAGAGACTTTTTGGCTTTGGTGTAAGAGCCATTTGACATCAAATCTAAAAAGTGTACCCAACCAGGATGGATGTTGGTTGAATTTCTTATGTGAAGTTTCTGCAGTAGTGAGGACGACAGCAGATATTTATTTAGCCTAAAAACAAGTTTTGGATTATCTTCTAATCTAACTTCACAAAAAAGAGAATTTGCCTTTTTTTTTCCCCAAAATGTCACAGGTTTCCTTTGTGTAGTTGCCCCAGGGAGGCTGGGATAGGGCCCTACACAGACCTTTGCTAATCTGAACAGGCCAAACAGTGACAGATAATTGAATAATGATGATGGTAAATTGATAGAGGGGATACTGCTAATTGCTAACACAAAAGAGTCATGCAGATCGGCTACAGAGACTGAGCAACTTACGAGATGGCCTCTATCATGTCCAAACCCATCTCCACACAGCAGTGGGCATGGTCAGCCCTCGCCTCTGGCAGCCCAGACACACAGTAGTAGCAGTCTCCCAAGATCTTAATCCGCAGACAGTGGTTCTCCTTTCAGAGAAGAGAGAGAACAACTTACTGGAAATGTACAGCAGCTCATACATTGGATTTACTTTGGGGGGTTTCATAATGACTTCCCTTTTACATTTCTTCCCTTGGGGGCTTTACAGCTTGATCTATTTATACACCATAGGTTCATTCATCCTTACATATTAGTGTCTACTGTAAGCGGTGGTGTAGGACCTGTGGGACCCGGGGTTTTTAGTATGTGTGCGCTCATATGTCTGTGCCTGTATTTGTGTACTGAGGAATATTGTATGCAGAGAAACAAAGATGCCCACTACAAATCATGATCATGCAACTGTTGTAGCTAAGACCAACTTTCACAGTTGGCAAATTTATAGCAGCAATGGTTTCTTCTAATCCCTTGTCATGTCCAGCTAAGTAGCAAAAATATTTTTTTAAATATGTGTAAGTGAATAAGTCAAGTGCAAAATCTGTGAATAACAAGTCCCTCAAGTGACTCTGATTAAATAGAAGAAGGATTTAGGGTGTGATACATGCCTAACATTAATGCTAAACTTCCAGTACCACATGTCAAGCCATTGAAGCAACACAGCAAAATGGCTGCAGGTCATAGAATTCCTTCCTTGCCACCAACCCCAGTAATAACCTGCGGTCAGGACTTTCCTTAAAGATGCTCCTATATTAACTCTATGATGCATTAAGGGATGAAATGATCCTGTGTGTAAATCTGCTTTCTATATGTTGCCGTTAAATTTTTTCCCCTCACAGACTGTGTTCTTCTAAGAGGAATTGGTAATATGACCAACCTTATGATCTAATGTATGAAGTGAAAATAAATACCATTGAATGATTAATTCTCCACAGTTTTCATTTGCAGTTAAACTTCATTTATTCAACAAAAATGTGAATCCATAGTTTCCAGGCAATGACCTTTAAGTTTGGACAACTATTGCAGATTGATGATGAGCAAATCTTTTGCCATGCGATGTCCTTGTTGGTCCAGTTATTTTTAATGTGTTTACTTTTCTTCTTTCAACAGAAATCAGAGGTTTCCCAGGAAGTGAGTTTTTTTCCATTTGATTTCATTTCAGGGATAGTAATACAGTAATTTAGATAGCAAAAGCATTAAACCACAGCACAGTAATATAAAAGTTTCCAATCAGGAATAAGCAACAAAAAATGCTTTTCGAAGGAAGCAAGTGTTTAAACACACTTGTTTCTCAAAACTACAGTCGCAAGGACTTGAAGCCGTCTTATCAGTATTTTTTCATACTAACACTGGATAAAATGACTATGTGTAATCTCAAAGCTGTTGCTCATAGTGATAACTGACTAACTGCTCTCACCACCCTCATTACCAGCCGCTGTTTCCACTGAACAAACCAAAATGATCTGCATGTAAAGATAACACTAGAGGTAAGTAGGTTTTTTTTTTCACCCTCAGAGCCAAATCTTTTCTGCTGACAGGAGAAGACACGCATTTGCAGTTATGACAAAGTCTTACATGGACATGGAGAGCAGGATTCCACAATAACTGCATTTTAGCATAGATTTTACACATTAGCCTTAATATTAAAAGAACTCTTAGCAGTGTGTGGGACGACCATAAAATAGTCTTTGTGTGTGTGTGTATGTGTGTGTGTGTGTGTGTGTGTGTGTGTGTGTGTGTGTGTGTGTGTAGGTGTGTAGGGCTTGGGAGAACACTGTGTCTCATGATAGCCACCTGAGTATCTCTCTAACACATGGCTCTGGGAAAATACAAAAAGACCACTGTGTACAGAGCACAGACAGAGAATGTGTGTGTGTGTGTGTGTGTGTGTGTGTATATACACACAGACACAAGGTACATCTGGCATGGACATAAAAGCGTCAGTAGCAACGTTTCTGGTTTATAATGCCATTGTGCCTGTTTCACTCATAAATATTGATTAGCACATCGTTTCACCTTTCACAAACAAATTACATACATTGAGCGTTGGCTGGATAAACAGTGAAGCTTCTGGATAAAGAAACTATCAATATTCATGAATGTGCTGCTTATGAAGCTGTGATATTAGATATTACAAAAAAAATAGAAATATTAGAAAGGCTGCAGGAAGCTGATGGCAGATAGGAAATAGAAATCTTGGAGCTGCCCTCTAAACCCTGGAAATCTGTGCAAATGTCTGTTTTTATATGTTATTATTTTAATGTTAGTATTTCATTACTGTATTTTTTATTTTTATTTTGAGAGTTAAATTTTCCAATAATTAATTGGGAAAAAGTAAAAAAAAAAAAAAAAAAAAAAAAAAGAGTGAAGATTTTTCTGCTTTACTGGCCTTTTAACCGTCTGATGATTCCTCCAGTTTATCTAGCGACCCCTTGGGTAGAGCTCCACCCCCAGGTTGTGACATGAAAGTGCCTGATAGGGACCATGCCAGTGATCACCAAATATGTCACAACCTTGGAGTTGGGATGGGTTTGAACAAACAGATGCTAAACAAAGACAACTGCAGTAAAGCATCAATATTCAGTGTAAATTCTGTTACACCTTGTTCACGCTGGCTCCCGTTGTTTGCCCTGAAAGTTCAGTTCATTTTAAACGGAGCACAGCTGCACTGGATTGGTTGGATATGATTATATTACCAGTGTTTCAACAATACATCAAACATTCAGACAGTTGGGGATGGTAAAAAAATCAAACACCTCAAGGTCTTGCAGCTACTGCTCCTGCTGACCAGCTTCAGAATAGCTTTACTTCCTCTAGTCTTCCATGTGAACACCTTCAGTTTAAAGAGCAAAGAGCAGTTTGAAGTCCTGACGTGACATTTGCGGAGCCAGTGCTCCTAACTATTCCTCTGCAAAAGGTTTCATGGTCTCATGGCCATCAGGCATTTACGTAGTCTGCGCACATTCAGGATGTGATCAGGCTCCAGCTTTTATCCGAGCATGAAACTAAAGTAACACCAGAGATGAGCCTTGAAACAGGAACATCTTTGCACCAACGGAAATAGTTTTTCATCCCTACAATGTGAAAACAACAAACTAGTAACCTGATGAGAGAGCGGTACCACAGCTCTGCACAGCAGTCATCTGTAAGAGCCACACAAGGTCATGTGACATGCCTCTCTGTGGACAAACCACAGGTCCACATAGCTTCAGATGCTGGCGCAGCCACAGGTCAAATAAACACCAGGCCGCAGGAAGAGCAGGTGACTATGTGAGCTTTCTCTATCTATTACTAGCTGCAGGTTGTACTCTATAACTCTCAATGAGTAAGTTATTCACTTCACCCACAGTCACCAGAAGGAGGAAGGTTCTCAGAAACACGCTCAGGCTTCTCTGACCTCAAACTAACATTGTATGTTATAATGAATAATAGAATAGGGAAACTTTTTTAAGTACTTTTACTTTTTAATTTTTTCTGCCCATTGACATTAATAAATAATTCTCTCGCCTGCTTTCTTAATAGGCGTCTTTGATATTTGCTTTGTGATCTTTCTCCAAACAAACGTCATTCAAAAAAAACAAAAAAACCAGATAAAACAAATCCAATAGAAGTATGCAAACTAAAATATAAGCACTGCTTGTGGACATGACATACTGTATATACATGCGTGCGATTGTGTCCTTACCGCTGCCAGCTTGTCAAAACGGGCAAATAGTTCATTGAGAGTCATCACCAACTCCTGCGCTGTGCACTGGGACGCCAGCATGGTGAAACCCTCGATGTCTGCGAATAAGATGCTGCAGAGACACAAAGACGAGAGAGACAGAATTCAACATCGTTTATTCAGAAACACGGGTGGATGGAGTAGTTCCACGTCAGGCAGACATCACTGAGCATGCACCTGTCTTTTTTATGACAATTACTCATGATTTTATAATATCAGAACAAAAATAACATCAGTGTTATGCTCGAAGAGCTGTAGTCTACTGATTTCTGTTCAGTCTAACATGATCTCTGATCAGTGGCAAAGTAGGATTAAAAAAAATAGGCCTGGGATATTTGATTTGTTGTGGAGACAGAACATCACATATGGCACGTGTCACACTAAACAAGAATCATGTAGTAAACAGGTTAAATGAACTATGATGATCTGTAAAACAATATGTGAAATAGAAACACCAGCACATGACTCACATTGATATATTCTGTAATTTTATAATAATTTAATTGTTATTTACACATTCCGTTACAGATTCAATGATGATTTTACTATTTTAGTTTGTGAGGAGAAACTATATAAAACAAACCGTCTCATATTCCAGTTCATAACTACAACAACAAAGTGGCTACAGTCTGAAAAACAGCCATATAAACAGTCTACACACTGAACATTAATAAATAAGGTAGCTGGTATTTACTGCTGTGCATTTTGCTTTGTATTGAATTTTATTTATGTTTTTCCCTGCTAAATAAACTCTGCCTAAGGCTTATGCTGTAAAGCTTGACTGGAGTTTGAACTGGACTCACTGGGAGCTGTACTGGGACCCACTCTCTGTCGTCTGCTGCTAGATGCACAACTATCTGAAGCAGTTTGGTTTTTGTCGAGATAACTTCTGTATGTTTTTGTTTTCTTTTTCAACTTTGTCATTCATGTAAAACGACTCAGCAACAGTCCACTGCCGGTTCCCTCAGTCTTTAAACCATGATAAAGATACAGACACATAAACAGCCAGTGGGTGGACTGAACCGAAGAGTTCGTTGGGGAGACAGATGTGAGGGAGATGACGGTGGGCCGCGCAGTCTGAACCAACCACCACAACACGTCACTATCCTTCTCTCTCCCTCTTGCTCGCTCTCCTGCTCTCTCTCTCTCTCTCTCTCTCTCTCTCACTCATGTGATTTTTCTGGTCAAGATGTACCCTGAAGCCACTGATGGAGGTGACAGGTGTGAGACTGTGATTGAAGCTGCTTTTTAAAGTCATATCTAAATGTAATACAATACCTGTTATCTGGTGTTAAAAAGTACTTGATGTAGCATTTGTGCTAATGAGTTCTTGTCCTGGCAAAAGGACGTGTGTGTATGTGTGTGTGTGTGTGTGTGTATGTGTGTGTGTGTGAGACGGAGAGAGAAATGAGACATAATACATTTGCAAGTAACTTTGCGGTTATAAAAAAAATAAACAAGGTAAACTGATACAGCAAAGGTCTCGTTGCGATTGAGGCATTTTCATTCCTCTCCTAACCCCGGCACACAGGCAGGACAGACGATCGCACCGGGCTGAATTCATTTCTCTCAGAAAGAAACAAGGAGCAAGGGACCAGGCTGGCAGGCAGAGACAGTAATAGGCTCAGCAGCAGCTGTGGGAGACAGTCATGTTGGCCTCAAGAACACTCGCAGATAAAACCCACGAGCAAGCTTGTCCTGAATGGCTCAAGTTGTTTTGTGAAGCATCATAACCTCCTACCGCACAAAGTCCCAATCTCGCGGTTCACATTTTCTTTCTTCAATAATAAGCATATTTATTCTCCGGTCACCGATTTCCTCCTGGGGTGAAACATGTGATGAACTTCGTACGTCTCATAACTCAGAAGGCAATACCATGCCCTCTGTCTTTTGCAGCTTATCACTGCGCAGCACTGTCTTCCTTGCAGCAACTTTGACAATAACTCACCAGCTCGACTCACCAGCTCCTTGTGGGATCCGCAGTGATCAAATTAACATAAAATAACCTTCAACCTTTATCTCATTTATTCTACTGGCTTCTAATTATTGACCTCGGCATTCAATGAGAGTGTAAAAGTGATAAACTCGGTCCAACATAAAGAAGTACATAAACAATAGAGGACAACTGCATCCACAACCTGTTGTGTGCTTTTGTTTGGGGCTGGTTTTCACAGTTTAACCTAAAAACAGCATCACTATTCCCTGTTAGCCATATTACATCTATTGGAACGGTTCAATCTTCGTCATAATATGACTAAAGATAAGGGCCAACTGACATCATAATTAAGGAACTTACATTATGATGATAATGACAATGAGCTAATGGACGCATGAATTTCCCCTTGGGGATAAATAAAGTATCTATCTATCTAATGTCAATGGAGAACTGTGTTAGTTCAGGCGCAACAGGCCATCAGCTGATCTGTGTCAGCTGACTCTTTCGATCACACACAAGTCATCATAATCTGACCATTCACTGGCTTTCGGGCCGATTATTCACGCCACTGCTGCTCTTACATATAGCAGTAGTAGTGTCCTATTAATACGAAGCAACCACGCCGACGCCCCTCTCAAAGTGCGAGTCGCACTGAATCTAAAAAACATGTGTGTCACGCCTGTGTGCTCAGAGTTATGAGTCAGGTTTTTGACACAAACTGCAGCAATCAAGTGTCAAGGGTTTAAAAGTGGCCTTACCTTAATTGCCACCTGCTGCGGCTGTAGATGGGTGTTGATGAGTGGGCCAGTCTACAATAGCTAACTCCCTTTTGTTCGCAACTGCTTGCACGTGTCCCTTCACCTCACACAGCACTTTGCCTCACTGCTCTCCCTCCATGACTCCCTTACTGAAAACCTCTGGAACACAGCCTAACCTCCTGATGGAAACCGTCCTAATGGTACAAAAAGCGACCCACCTCCCAAATCAAGTTTTACCCATCTGATTAAAGAAATGTTGTCCAACTGAGTGGAATATTATCCAAATCTACTCTTATGTAGCTGGAGCATCGTCCATTGTTTGAGTTTGTGAAGCCAGATATTGCAACTGTTTCCTGACTAATGAACTCCAATTAACTGCGTCCCCAAACACGTTTTTTAATGCACCTGGCGCTTTGTGTTTCATCTGCTCTGTTACACTACTTTATATGCTTGTGCGGATGTTTTATTTAGTTTGATAGACTTTTGATGTGCTTATGCTGCTGTGTATTTGTATTGTACTTTTGGTCTCCCTGGAGCACACACACAGCAAGACAAACTCCAATCAATGTTTCATTGAAATGGTAATAAATGATTGAACCTTGAATCTTGGATCTAAGGAGAAGTGTCTCTCTGAGGCAGACCCCCAGGAAGAAGAAGAGAAAGCTATGAATAAACAAAGATTTCAGACCAAACAAGCTCACATGAATCTCACAGGGTAGGTGCCTGCTGCACAGCCAAGAACAGGGTGTGTTTGTACAGTGTGTGTGGGCAGGACGTGTAGCAGGTTATGTTCCTATATGCATGTAAAAGTGAGCCGTACTCCGGGTATGTGGCATTCATTTTATCATTAGTGTTACGGCAAGGTTTTTACAGGCTTCACAGACTTTTGTTTCCCGGCTGCCCACATGTCAAGAGCACTGACGTGTTCTAATGAACTTGGGCTTCAAGATTCCTAAATTTACTCAATTTGGATCTCAAGTTGAAAGGGATTAAGAGTCCCCACTCTGGGGTACACATTTCTGAGAATAATTGATTGTTTTCTGGGAACTGTTGCATGGGAGGTCGAGTGAAACCAGACACTTGTGTCCGGTGGGTTTGAGCTCAGAAACAGGTCTATCACTCTGGGTAGGAGCAGCGATGGTCGACCATGAGAGAAGAGTGCTTTAATCCACTTGTTTTAAGGTGTGCATCAATGAAACCTTTGTATCCCAATTAAAAAATTACATGAAAAACACTGGGCTGTTTAAAAAGTATGAAGTTCTCTTAACATGCATGTGTGTTATAAAGCAGGATGGATGATTAGCCCTTGAATGGACTGAACATTGGTGAGTTCAGTGTACGCCATCAATGTGACTTAAATGAGCTTTTGAGATTCAATAACAGGTTGGATTTTTAGATTAAAATATTAGGATGTGCATTTTCGCAGTGTAAAAACTACATTATCCTCTCCGTCTTATAGATACTGAATCTATTTTTAGCCAAATACATAATGCAGAGATTTCCTGATGGATTATCAGTCGCTCCCCACACTCTCCACTGCCACAATGAAGCACAGAGCAAGGCCACTTCCCACATCAGAGGCGACAGTGGGTGATGAGGGAGAAAAGGAACAGAGTGACAGAGGTTATGAGAAAAATACCTGGGGTCTTTAAGTCCCATTTAATGGTTACCGTGGTGATGAGTCACTTGTTAAATCCTGAGGAGGTTTGCTTTTTGTCTAAGTGACAGTGACTGCAGAGAAGATCCTGAACTGAGAGGACCTGTAGTCTCGCAGGAGAAGAACGTCAGACATTTTTTAAACGTTGCATCTGATGGAATAAACATAGCTGCAGTCGAAGGGTTAACTTGCGTTCAAGTCATTTTTTTCCCTCTTTGAACGATCGCTGAACAAGAACTGATAACAACGCAGACATGAAAGGTTTCAAATGATAACCACACAGTAAGTTCAAGAAAAAGATAAATGCCCTAGAGATAAATATGTGACTCTGCTTTTGGTTTCAGATCAGTTTATATTTTGGGTTCGGGACAAACAGAGCCTTCAGTGATGAATTCAGCTGTAACTGAGAACCACAGGCTGGAGAAAACAGTCACTTCCAGAATGGTCCCGAATTGTTTTTTAAAAGAAGAATAAATACAAGTAACTACAAACACTGCAGGAAACATTGGGTACTCAACCAACAGCCCTTTTCCACTAAACATGCAATAAACATCTGCGTACAACTGGATATAGGCAGTCTTCTTTTCCTGCTTGCAGAGCTGCTGCTGCAAAATCTGTTCTGGGTCAAATCTCAGCTGAACCAAAGCTGTGCTGCGCTGGCATTGCCTGACCCTGTGATCCCCTCTCGTCTGGCACTAGCACTGCCACTGGCCAGCTGCCTT